TATATATTTTTAATTACAATATAATGTTTTAAAAAATTAATTACATTTTTTTCATTTTATTTGTATTTCATTTAATGAATGAATTCAAAAGTGATAAATTACGATTGAAAAAGTAAATTAATGAAGTAATTTAATTATTTATTTTTACATATAAAATAATTTCAAATGTTATGTTATTTATTTATTACACAAAATATTAAAATAAATTAAAAACATTTTATTAAAAAAATATAATAAGTTAGCTTAATTGAAATATTTAAATTTATCATTAGTTTTTGCTATGACAGTTTCTTTTTTAAATTTCTTTGTAGAAGGAAATGAATATATTTAAATAAGAAAATAATATAAATATCTTCAAAAAAATTAAATGTAAATTGATACTCTTTCTTAATAAATGATAAAAAAATAGCACAGATTTTTATATTAAGTGATCACATTTCAGCATATGAAAAGTAAATTATACAAGGATATGCAATGATAATCAATAAAATATTTTATAAAACACCGAGTAGTTTAATTGAGGAGGAAGGTGAAAGTGCTGTTTATAGTAATTTATAAGAAAAAGTTATAAAATCTTGCAGTTTTGACTTATTTAAAGTGAGAAAAATACTCGCTTACACGACGGTGAAACAAAGAACCAGCAGCGATTCGAGAATACAAGCGCCACAAGCAACAACGAAAGATTCGATAACATCGCCTGTTGTCAAAGACATTCTTCACGAATAGCACTGAACTATAAACACCGTATAGCACGTGATAAACACATTCTTGATACATTGAACACGCTGTTACTTTGTTTGGAGTTCTGTTATATCAGTCACATCGAACAGCAGGATACGATTGACAACTGTGCTCATCACTACGGGGTGACAGAATACAGAGACGTATTGACTTTTATGATCATTTACTGGATATTTTACTATATTTTTACATTTATAATGTGTTGATTTATATCTGATTCATTCAATAATATCAATATGATATTAATATTATCATTGGTATGCTAGTTTCCATAAGTACACAGTCGTAATTATATTATCATCAGCAATGGAATTTATATTGCTGTGTTCTCGTGTCAGTACTATTTTTACTCCTAGTGACGATTAAACATACTTTTACTTAATTTATTTTAGTACTAAAAAGTAACTAGAAAAGCCTATAAAATAAGATTATTATATTTTATTACATTGATTCATCATATAATATTTCAGAAAATTCTGAGTAAAGAGTGATTAATAACTGTATAAATGTGCATTGTAATTTGTGATTTTTCTAAACTTAAATTTCTTCTTTTTTCTAATTAATTTTTGAAGAAATTTAAAAGTGAAATTTTAAGAAAAATACTTGCGAGACGTAAATAAATTGTTATAAATTTATGTAAGAGTTGGAGCGATAATAGAAGTAAAAGTTTTTTTTTTTTTTTTTAAGAAAGTTAATATAAACTGAAAAATTTAATTTTATAATTTTGATATAACTGTAAATCTTCAAGATGCGTGAAAAACACACACGTTGTTTACCATAGAAAAACCGAGTGATCAGATTTTATCAATCTAGTACCAAATGTCGTTCTATTGACAAACACATTCTGTCAGTTCAGATGTTGCATTCTTGACGGAAACTATCAAAGCTAAACTTCAATCCCATGAATATATCAAACGTAGAACCGCTAAAAATCGTTGAATTTGGTTTTCCTGGACTTTTTCACTTTAATCCCTCTGGGTATTTCTCAGATTTGTAATTTCCTTTAAAAGTATTTACGTAAGGAAAAGATCGAATGAATATAATTAAAAAAAAATACATATAATTTTTTTCTCTACTTTTCAATATATAGATGTTATTAAACGATGTTTTATACACTATAAAAATATCGATTATTAAACTCACCTAACAATTTTTTACCTTGTCGCATTCCTAGAGGAATGGCCTCATTATCTTCTCTTCTCCAAGAAATATTCGGTGCTGGATATCCTTTAGCTTTACACGATAAAGATACGTTTGTACCTTCTCTGGCTATGACATCTGAACTACTTTCAGCCACAATAATATCTGGTGGTACTTGAACGAAATCAAGATTATAAGAAGACTTATTATCACAGCAGAACCAAAATACCGTAATCAATAGAATAAGATAGATTTTTATAAAAAATTACGGCCCATCAAGTGCTGAAAGACAAATTCATTTAACAGGAATTTTTATAATTATTAAACACTTTTTTTCCCCTGATACTTTTTAAACGATAAGGTGAACTATCCTCTAACAGCGTCTACCTCATCATTCATTTGTGTTGTAGAGCATCTTCTTTAAACACAATCTCATTAATTTTGATCCTTACAAAAACAAAACAAAGTTTTTTTTCAATGACATTAAAGGATTTAACGCGACAACTTATATAATTAAGTTAACCAAGGATAAACATCTTTAAGTAATCCTAAACTTAATGCAGGTCCACCTAAACACATTAAAAATACTNAGGAAATCCTAAGAGAGAAGAGGAGAAATAAATATCTATATTTAATTATATAAATAAATACAGAAAACTTCAAATACAGGAAATACATCATTACTTAGCACAATGATAAAATCTCATATAACATACAATTCATTAACAGAGACTAGCCTGGAATATATGGAACGTAAACTGAAATGTATACGTGCCTACTGTACTTATGCTTAACATTATACTGAGAATATTTATGTAGTGTATGTACTTTGTAAATACATATAAAAAGAGCAATTTTTAACTTTTTGTTACGAGAGAACATCATATCAAAAATGACATCATAGATTGAGAAGTCAGTCGCCATATCCCTTGGAAGGCATTATTTCAACAGTTTTTCATGGATTGAATACGTATACTGTCCTTTTTCATAAAAGAAGTCGTCAGTAGAAGTAAAGATGGCACCATAAAGTCCGCATCTTTATGAACATAAGAAAGAAAAAGAGATAAATTTTTCCATTATATAATATATATGTATATGAAAATATAGTCTATATATAAAAACGAGTCGATATTTTGATAAAATTTGTTAATATAATTTACTTCGTTCTTTAAATAATAACTTATAAACTTTAATGTATTACATATATTATTTTATTCTTTAAATTGTTAAGAAAACATAAATTTTTAAAAATCTAAATATGCTTATATTTTTTTTCTCTTGTTTTTTTTTTCTAAGAATTTAAGTGAAGAAAGTCTTGAAGAGAGATCACTTTAAATTTCACATATTTGAATTTGAATTTTAAAATCGGATTGTACAGCTGCGAAAATTGAATTTTCCTGACTGTGCAATACAAATTTACAAAACAAAACTCCCACGGTAACATATTAAAAAGAAGAAAGAACATTTTAGCCTTTACAAGATATTTAAATAAAGCATTTTCTGTTTAATTCTAAATTCCTTCTACCCTGTTAAAAATTATTCCAAATTTCTCATATATATATATATCCAGCACATATTTTATCTTTTCTTTTTTCTTTATCTTACATTTTTCTATCTTCTCGAACATGAAATTTTTTAGTCGACTGCGTACTACCACACAAATACAACGGCTGAGTTATAAAATCTTCTGTACAGTTTTCTTTGTTGATTTTCCGGACGGATTCTAGAAAATCTTATTCTTTATCTGTTAGTACAGCTAAGAAGTTGCAAAGCATTCAGGAAGTAAAAATCAAAGGAAGTAAAAAAAAATAAGAAGAGAGATTTTCTACTCCAACACTTGTGACGAGTAAGTTTGCACGTCAGAAACGACTGATAAAATTGATTACGCCACAGAACTCTGACAGAATCTTCGAAAAACGTCCTTCATTTCGATCGATCTGATGTCTTGTATAAGGTACTGTATATCTTTCACACGGAGGACAATCGTAGTAGATTAAATTGAAATTTCACCTCCCCCGTCAACTTATATACTGTAATATGTCGCAGAGTGGACAGTTAAATTTAAAGGTAACTCCCAATCCATTCTCGTAGATTTATCTTCGTCTTTCTTCTCAATGTCGCCTTTTCTTTCGATACACAAAACAGTCATTCTTCAACACGATGATGTACTGTATATATATGTAATATCGATAAATTTCCGTAAAACTGGAGAGGTAGACAAGGCGCCAGTAAGTCGGATAAACGTGTAAATTGAATCGATCTACGTGCTTCACGAAATTAAACGATTACAATGTAAATTTAAATGGATTTAATTGTGTATTTGAGGATATTAAGCTAACGTTCAGCTGTCGTGATCACAGTAGAAAGAAATAAATGGAGTGCTTCAATTAAGTCATAATTTCCAATTTTAGAAACCTCCGTACATGAAGAGGTTAAATTTGATGATGATTTTGAATTGATCGGTAGAGAAACTTGTCTCTAGATAAGCTATTATTTAATATTTTATAATTGGAATATTAGTTAAACATCGTTAACATGAGAAAGACTTGATGGATCTATTTATTTTTACTAAATAACAGCAAGTTTTTTATCACGTTGTAAGGCTATTAACGCAAAACTTTAATGGAAGTTTGAAGATAAAGTCGTGAATTTCTTATTATAATCGTAAACTAATAAGTAACTGCGATAAATATGCTGTTTATAGACCTATATATTTTAGAATTATCTAAATTTTTCTTACTAAATTGAGACATGAATTGTGATTACATAAGCGGAGTAATTCTCATATAGAGACCAAAGTTAATTTAAGTAGAATAGAAGTGATTAACTGAAGTTAATATCCATATTTTCCAGCTTATTTTCTTAAATATTACAGAAGTTGATAACCAATAGAAGAGCTTTCATAAATTTTTAAATATTTTATTAGTATAAGACCTGTAAAAGAGTTAATTATATAATGATAAAGATATATTTTTGTAAATTTTATTATAATAATTATTAATAAAAATATCTAGAATTTTTATATGTATATACTTTAATATTTTTATGGAAATTAATTAGTCATATGAAATAATCAATATAATATACTGTAATTTGAAATCAGATATAAAATCTTTCTTAATAATATAAAAATTAGTTTAAAAAGTCTTATATTTCGTTTCAATGATTTGTAGTCTAAATAAATACTTAAACGAAAATTGGATAGAAGTATCATTATTATAACAACAATTGGTTGAGGAAAATCAGAAATAATAGCATCTTGCTGATTTTCCTCCGTCTATTTATTTCCTGTAACTAATCGTCATTGGCTCAAACATCTTTTCGAACAATCTACGTTAAAATATTTCACAAAATTGCAAACGTTTCGTATAATTTATCTTATTTTTCTGTATCCTTTACATTTTCCATAAATATATTTACAGTTTATTCTATCTTAACATGATTTATGCGATCTTCTTTACGTTCTTACTATACTAAAACAATGTTTTTTTTCTTAACTTTTCGCATCAATCTACATCAACAATCGACCTATCAACAGTAAAATAACAATAACACAGTTATGAATATTGGATAAAAATTTTCTTATTATACTTGTCATTCGATATCTTTCGATGGTCATAGTTTAACAGGACATAACTCCTTCATCCCGATGTGAATTATGGGTAATGGAGTATGTAAATTATAACGACATTGATCGGTTATTTTCTATAGTTAACAACTATGTTGTCGTCAAATGTCTCAAGGTAGCACTTTTACCAACATCTTGTGCTGCATGGATAAGTTATTGATGAAGGAAAGAGACTCGAGGGTATAATGTATTTTTATTACATATGTAAAAGATTGCAGTTAGCTCGAAACAGCCAAGTTTTATAAGAAATCAACGCAAAGGATATCGTTTTCCTATTAAATGTGTGTAATCGTCAGCGGACTTTACGTAATGGCGAATGGCAACCATGTGTTTTAACGTTTTTTCCCTCTGTTTGAAAGAGAGTTTTTTTCCATATATGATCGTTAGATTTTTTAAATATATAAGTACTAAAAAATAAAACGCCATTTTCACTTTTATATGAATCTTTTTCCTTATATTACAACAGAATTCGATCACATAGTCACGTGTAATTTTTACGACTTTGATATAACTTGAAAATTTCAAAATATTTTTAAAAAATCAATTAAAATTTACGAACAAAAATCATTGTGGCATCGTCATAATGCTGGACTGCAATTTTTAATTATATTTTTAATTTATTTAATTTAAAATATATGCTCTCAATTTCAAATTATTAGTGTCTTGCCCCTGTAAATCATACTTTTCCTGTTAACAAAAGAGTCATGCCAGTCATCTATCTAACTCCGTTATGGATAAAAAGTTTTGAATTGAAATCACGTGACTTCCGGGCTATTCCTGAAGTTCGCATATAGTTAATCAAGACCTCCTACCTTAAGCTTTTCATATCTGGCCTCGACTTTCATCTATCTTACGATTAATAATGAAAAGACAGGGGGAATTTACAGATCTGCAACTTTTTAACTTGCAGTCCAAAATATTTTAACTCTAAATATTTACAAAATAATTTATTTAACCATACAACATTTAATATATATAAAAAATTTCGAATGTTATACAAATCATTCTTCGTTATCCTTATGTCGAGAAATAAGAATTTATATACAGTATATTGAAATTCATTTAAGACGTCATCGTTTGATAAATTTATTAAATTATATTAAATTCTAAATTTTATTTAAAGAAATTTTTGTGTTTTTTATATTTCAAAGTAATATAAACGGCGTCAATTATATAAAAACATTTTTAAAAAATAAAAATGAAGACGGTTATATTAATTATTAATATATCTTTACAATCTTGTTTCTCTCTATATATTTGATTTATCTTATAGAATATTCTATTTTGGAAAGCATTAATAATTTATATTCTTTAGCAGAAGACAAAATAATTAATTACCTGTAAATTTTTAGAAATTTTACCGAATAAAATTAAAAATTATTTTTAAATTATTCAAATATAAATTATTATTTTTTTAAAAATATGGTTCATTTCAATAGTGAATTCAAGTCTCAAAGGAATATTACGTATAAGTTTGTGCATATATATCAATTTTCTCTAAAGAGAAGCATCCCATACCTCATTTATCCATCTCTAAATGCACCTCTGCTTTACTTTGCTAAGTTATAAAAATATTCAAATAAATTTTAAATTATTTTAATTGTATTTTTATTATAATTGATGATAAAATAAAATTTTATTATCTTATAATTGAAAAATTAAAAATGAATAAACAATTAAGTTATACTCAACGGAAATAATAAACTTTTTAAAAAAAAATAACTGTCTATTTTTGCACTGGAATGGCGCCAATTACTTATAATAATGTATGCAAATTTTAATCTTGTGTACGGACAATTAAATAAGATTTTATACTAAAAGAAAGATATCTTCTCTCTCCATCTCTTGGGATATATACAAAACTCGATAAAGTTGCTTATGATAACAAAAAAAAACCAGTAAAAAAAACACATTCAAGACGTTAAATATAATGCAAATAAATCGATGATTTTTTTCTAGAATTTTTAAAATTTTCATTCAATAGAATCTATTTTACTACATTTTTTTCTAATTTTTCTAAAAGTCTTTCAACTACTTAACAACATGTTTAGCTTTTTTTAAGGGAAATTTTAAATTTATATAATGAACAAAATTAACTTTGTATGCGCATAATATACACATACATATATGAATAATTTTAAAAAATTCTAGAAATTTTAAAAATATTTTAAACCTATACAAATACATCTAACATATATTAATGATTAATTTAATATTTCTTTCAGCATTCCCTTCGTTTACTATGCACCACTTTGCATTTCTAAATTTAATTTTACTATTTTTTTTTGTCTAGTTTATTTCTTAGTCACTTCCCCTCTTCATTTTTATTCCTGTTTCTCCTTCTATGAATATAATTTTTCGTCCTTTTTTATATTAACTAAATCAGAATCAGAATGCCAAAAAGTTAAGTTTATTCTCGCTTGAAATATTTATTTGTACTAACGTAATCTGAGAAATACAGAACGAAAAAGATTAGTTCATAAGAAAACATTTTCACAAAGCTATTTTCCCTAAGGATCCTAAAATACTAACTCGATCATTTGAGATTTGTACTTTTAAACTTTAAAAATAAATAAAAATAATAGTAATAAAGATTATAAACAACTAAAAATAAATTTCTTCCTGTAAATATTTCATATTTTAATAGTTTATATATTTATAAATATTTACANTTTCATTGCTGTTATATTATTCTGAATTTGATGGTTTATTATATGCCATTTATATATTCTCATGTTTGTTTGTTTGTCGTTATGATAAATTAGTTATGATTGCAATAATTTTTGTTTGATGATTGAAAATTGATTTTGCATCAATTTTCATCAAGCAGTTATATAGACCTTTGACATTTAAGCCTATAATATCACAATATAATATATATATATATATATATATTTTCTTCGATATTTTTTGAGTTTATATTTCTTAATGCCTTAAAAGAAATTCGAGAAGTTTCTTCTATAAGGTAACAAAGAACATTATCAGATTTCAGGAAAAATAAATAAATAAAAAAAAACATATTCAGTATCAAGCAAAAAATATTATTTCAAATCTCGATAAGGCCTCATAAAACGAATGGTGTTATATTTATATAAATAATAAATTTGTTTATTATCTTTAAAACATTATTTTAAAATTATATATATATAATATGCAATTTATATCATCATAATATTTTCAATATTATCAAATATGTCCCCCTCCCTTTTCTAAGATTATATAGATCTATTTTATACTTTCTATAAAAGTATCATAAATCAAAAAACATCAGAAGATGAAAGTAAGCTTGATATACCATTAGTCGAAGCAGAATTGAAATTCTCTTTTGATATTTTTCTTTCGGCATAGCAAACAAGTTCTCCTCCTCTGTAATTATTCATTTTATTCTACGGATATATATATATATTTCTTTGTAAAAGTTTTCTTTAAACAGAGGAGAAAAAGAACATACCGCATATCATTGCCAATAAATAATTTACTTTTTAATAATAGTTTTCTTTTCTTTTCTCCTATTCACTTTTGCTGTTTATACCTTCCATTGCTTCTTTTAATGACTGATAAAATATGAAAGATTTTTCTCTCCGAATAACTTATGAAAACATCTTTTAAAGTTTAGTATCAATAATATCGATCATTAAAATTTATATTAAAAAATTTTCTTTATATATATCCAAAATTAGTAATACGCGTATAATAATAATTTAATTAATTTTAAAAAAATATTTACATTGAATACTGTAAAAATCTCGATAAAATATACAGAATGTGAATGGTAACTTTAAGGGAAAAATATATATATTATTTTAAAATAATTTTAGAAGTTTTGAGATGAAATCTATGCATAGACATACAGACATGCCATTAAATAAAATGAAAAAGTCGTCTCTTCTACGTGAGCAATACAAAAATCGAAAAACAGTCCTTATCAGTTGAAAAATCCTCAATACATCTACTTGAAAAATTATTTATTATTAAAAAGTATGATAAAAATATAGACATGATTATTACTTTTATCGATTCAACTTAAAATTTTGGAATTTTTTTTTCTTGTATTCAACTAAAAAAAAGGAAATAAAAGATTAAAGTTTATTGATCGAAGTTGTATATTTTAAATGAATGTATGTATATATATATATAATATCCCACAAGTATATTTGATAATTTAGCAAATTTTTAAATCTCCCTCGAGTCTCTCTACTTATTATGATAAGATAAAATTTAAATTTATTAGACGAAACGTCGCGATGAGTCAAAGAAGTTAAATTACAAATTTCGATTAAAAAAAAAATTGCAATTTTTAATTCTAAAAGACTTGTATGTAAAATTATCCATACATTTAATTATATATAATTAAAACATATTTATTATCATCATAAAAATTTAAAATTTATATAAATATTATAATTAAATATGCAATTTATAACCTTAATATTCTATATAAACCGAGCAAAACTTATTGTGACATTATGACAATGCCGGTCAGCAATTTTTAATTTACTTAATTTAGAATATATGCTCTCGATCTTAAATTAGTAGTGTCTTGCCCCTGTACATCATACTTTTCCTGATAACAACAGTCATGCCGGTCATCTATGTAACTCCATTCTCGAGAATAACAGACAGAAAAACAAACAAACAGTGAGAATTTATAGGTCTACAATTTTTTCAAATTGCAGCCCAATTATATATAACCAGTTATTTAATAATTTATAATTAAAACAATCTATGTAAATAATTTAAGTCTCAGGATCTTCAGATTATATTAATAAAAGTTTAATTTAAAGTATATTAAAAATAATTTTTTAGTCGTGAGAAATTTATTTAAAAATAGAAAAATAAATATTTTGCATTATAAGTTTCTTAACCAACCATACTTTTAAAATATGGAAAGTAATAATGAAAAAATGAACGTAAATAATTTTATTAAAAGGTTGATAGATAAAATATTTTCAAATTTTGAAATGATTCTTTCATTTTATGATAAGAAAAATATCCGTTAAAATAAATGAAAGCACATTTAAACGTTAACGTTATTTACAGTATGCTATTATGTACTCTAAGACTATATTTTTAATAAACACAGGGTTTAATTAAAAAATACACATGTTGTTTCGCATGATTCAGTTGAAAGTTACTGTTTATCACATTAGAGCAATGTTAATCCAAGTAGTCTAAATGTGAATAAATTCTACACAACTTGGAAGTAAATTCATTGAAATTTTTCTTTTCTTTTTTTAATAGTTCCATTAAACTTTTATATAGAAAAATAAATTAAAACAATTTTATAAATTGTTCTTTATATATCATTATATTCTTATAAAATTTAATAATTATTATAACTTAATTGAGCAATTAATCATATTTAACAATTGAGATTATTAACGATTCGTACTGTATATATAAAACTTATAAAAATTTATATAATAAAAAAAATTAAAAATATAAACGTAAAAAATGCCTCTTAAATTATATTCATTGTACTGGTTCTCGCATATTAAAATTTTTGTGTAAAATAAATTTTTTTCTCTTGTTTATTAAAGATAAATCATTAAGTAAGGCTGTAAATAAAGATAAAAATTTGTAATTATGTAAATACAGGGATTTAAACAAGTACATTGACTTCAAAGAGTTTTTTGGTTCGTTACTTAGAAACTGTGATAAGTACCAGAAAACCTAAGTGATTTTCACTAATGTGATTGGTTGATGATGGTTTTTCATTATTACGTTTCTGCATATGTATGTTTCTATTGGTGTTTTTGAAAATTAAAACTAAAGTGCAAAGAATTTAAAAATGAAAATCTTCACTAAAACAAGAGGCTGGAGACAAGTTTTTTTTTAAAAAAATCAGTGATTAACGAATAAGAATATGGTAATTAAACAATAAAAAATAATTTTGAAAAATATAAACTTATTTTTTAGTTTAATAATTAAATTATTTAGCAATTTGAACGAGATTAGAAAAAAATTATATTAGATTAAAGCAAACTGACATGGAAATCTTCACTCCTTTTCAAGTATTTTATTTTTTGTTTAAATTAAAGTCAAATTTTCAACACTTTATTCAAAAATTTCTTATTCACCAGTGAAAAAATATGATTAAATCACTTCTAGTAACCGAACTTATGAAATGGAAATAATCAAAACAGGTTAAATATTTAATTTAAAGCGATAGTAAATTCAAAAGTATAAAAATAGGTTTCTATATTTTATATATGAAATACTGGAAATAAAATTTTATCTTTATATAATTTACCTAACACGTCTAAATATCCAACTTGGCTCTTCATAGGTACGGTATTCAATTGGCACATATAGGCACCACGATCAGTCATCTGAACGTTGCGTATATGCAGGATAAAGTTTCTGTTATCACTATGACTCAAGCTTATACGATAATTCCGAGTAATGATGTGGTGGTGGATTGTCAAAATTGCTTTACTCTCCACTTTAATCCATGCTGCCTGTAAAATGGAATCGAATAATGTGATTGTTTAAATGTAATTTAACGCGAATACCATTGGATAGAGTTACATATAAACATTTTATAATTGCAAAGAAGTTTACTGTAGAAGATAGAAGTTTTTCTATTTTATCAATTCAAATTTATACCAATAAAAAAGAATAATAATAAATATACTTTTTTCTATATTTGTCTTCACAATTTTCCTGGCTATTTGAAATAGATTGTATACAGTTTGATGGTCTTCTTTTTTGGTCATAAGAAATATCGACAAAAGACTTAAGTTTGCAAGATCGTTCAAATTGGTTCCTTTTATCGCCATGAATTACTTTCCAGGTCGCATAATCTATCTTAGATATCTTTATTTTTTTATATGTTTAAGGAAGAAAAAATGAAGAGGAAGGAAGGGAGAAAACTTTATTTTACTTTCAAGATTAACGATTTCTTCTATCAATGCATTTATGCGAGATCAGGTTAGAAAGGAAATATTTTCTATATCCCGTAAAATTTCTTTCAATTCACTCTAACATTAATGAAATACAGTCTATTTCATGGTAGACACTAGACGAGTTGTTATCGTATCTCGACTGATGTAATAGCAAGTAAACTGAGATAATAAAACCGAGTTTACGATGGTTTTTATATCCACTGCAAGAAGTAGTGTCGCGTAGTGCGTTGTGTGTGTATTTGAGGATCGCCTCGTTACCATCCTTGAGCTTAAAAATAAAGTTGTAAAGTACAAAAGGTGAAGGTGGTTATAATTCACTACTTTCTAGATTCTGTCTTCGACAGAAAGTAAAAAAGATTCAGTGAGCTAAATCATGGTAGATTGTACTTTTTTTAATGTATTTTTGATCTGTTACATCTTGAGAGATAGTTTTTAAATCATTATTATCTTAATTTAATCTACTTTTAACTGGAGGGGAGTAAACTTACCCTATATGATCCTAAGTTATCTACAACACATGGCAGTTGGGCATCACGTCCTAGAGGAACTGTTACGTTGGAAATGGGTTCGGTAAATTCTGGTTCAACTTCAGGAACTGCTCCTAAAAAAACATATTTATTTATTTATTTTATATTATTTTCTACAATTTAGCTTAATTATATATCTTATAATTAACATAACAAGAGATTTAAGCATTAATGTCAGGGATAAGCACTCGTTCGATCGTCATTAGTGCTTAAATTTATAAATTTTAATGGTTTATTTCGTTTATAATTAGTTTGTATCAATTCTATACACAATTTTAGTAATAATATAATATAAAATTATAAATTTGACCTAGTAAAGGTAAACCGTTAGGCGAACAGTATAAAAAAGAACCAATTTCGGAAGAGATCTCCTTTCTCCTGACGTACCTTAAACATTTTCAAACTTGTTTATTTCTATCACCTTCTCTTAAGAAGAAATACGATCATCTCGAATGATTGGAAGCTCAGGTTTGAAGTATTATTAAGTATTTGGATGTCTCCATGTCTGTTGACAGGATTGTGAATGCGTCAATCCTCATTTTTATATCTTTTCGAGTTGACGAAATGAAAGAATCGAGGAAAAGCTACTGGAAAAATGGAACAAGAGACAGATGAATGCTATCCTCTCCAACCTCATTTATCAAAGTTTAGAATATAGACATATTGTACATTTATTCATTTAGAATCATAGTATAAAATGAAAAAGGTTATTTTGGTTCCATTTTACGGGATTGTATTATATTCTATACCGTCGACAGATTGAAAATAAGCGACAATTTCACACACGGCACTATGGCACGAGAAATTTGCTATACGTAAGATGAAAATACGTTTCATATGACGCTTTTTTCCCTTCATATTGAAGACTATAAGCACCCCAATGGTTAGAAAATAAATCCACTGTGACTGAATATTACTTCTTTCTGTCAGGTACTCTACTTTATTGATTGCAATTCAAGTCCTGTTTGTAGATCTTAGTGGAATACAACTAAAAGAGAATTTTTTTTTTCTTTCAACCTTTTCTTAGATTTTTCACTATTGTCGACTTGTACAATAAGGATAAAGCTTATTGTGTAGCTTCTGTTACTTAAAGTCTACATTGAGGTGTTTATTGACATTAGGCCAGATGTTTTACGATCTCTCTCTGACATTTTTTTCTTCCTCCCTCTGTTCAACTATTTGTCAGCCCATATTCTGTCTTTCTATGAGTTTATAGTACGGTAGTGAGAAAGTTCAATCGTGTTAGGGACAATAAATTAACCTAATAAAATTGAAAAAGTCGTGTTTATAAAACAAATCGGCGTTAAGTATAAAATTTTGATATATGGAGATAATAACTGAAATATCGACGGTATAAACAATCCAGAATTTTTTACCATTATCTAAATATTTATTGTGTATTAAAGTAAGTTTTTTTCTGTCAAAAACAGCCTTCATAAGTCAGCAGATGTTGACATAACCAATAAGTAAGCCCGTACATAGACGAATGTTATCATCATCAATTTATCTACAAATGCAACCAACTGTTTCACATTTTAGCTCGAAATAGTTTTGTTTGATATCGAATAAGAGGAAATTGTTTCTTGTCTAAACCACCAATAGACTATAAATTGCATTCAGTAATATGGCCATTCTATATCGGCACTTGAATGATTATCCTTTGCTAGTATCAACAGAAACATTTTCGAACATATTTACTTCCATATCATTTTACTAGCATTTGATCTTTAAACATTACTTCTTAAACTGTGAAAAATTCATTAATAAATAAGAAATTAAACCATTTTTATGAACAATTATAAAAAAATTTCATCGGTATCTAAGCTGTAATAAAATTCATTCAAGCGAATTAATCAAGGTAAAATGTGTTAAAGTAGATGTTTAGAACATTTATTTGAAAACACGGTAAATGTAATTAAAGAGAACAGTTTACTTTCTGCTACCTACTAACAGAAGCTATTTATTGCTTAACAATCGTCACAACTAGTTGAATGTCTTACACTTCAGGGAATAGGCAACTAGCTCATTGAATTTCATCACGAAAATTGAAAAATGTTTTTCTTTTTTTTTCCTTTTTATCCTCCCACTTTAAGAGAACAGATTTTTAAAATTTTGTTAAGATTAATTATACGTTTTTAAAAATAAAAAAAGTAAAAAAATAAAAGAATATTATAGTTTAATAACTTCTATAATGGTTATTATTATTATTATTATTGTGGATAAATTTGTTTGTTATCGATCGTTTGTTTGTTAGTAACCCACTGATTAAGTTCATTAACACGAATGTTAAAACAATCAAGCTACCACTGGGTAATGTTTAATCGATTCACTACGATTAAGCATTGATCCATGAATAGTTGTTCAGTAGACGAAATGTTTTTCAGTGACAAATGAAGTTGGCGAAGCAGGAAGATAAGACACAAATTGATATCAAGCCACAACGTTTATCTCTCTTTCTCTCTCTTCTCTCTCTTTCTTTCTTCTAAATAATTCTCCTAATCGGAGAAGGTGCGGTTTAACATTTTTGTTTTAGTCAGAACGGAGACTGCTGATTAATTGACTAAAACACAACCGAGTTAGGTATTATATGGCATTAGTTGCAGTAAACCTCAATCCTAGATGACGCAGGAGATTGTTAGCTACATATGAGATTAGTTTACTTTCCTTCAATACAATCTTATTTTCTATCAAAAGATAAAACTTGGATAAGTTTCTAATTTAAATAAAACTGTTCTTCCTTTTTTTTAATATTTTTAATATTATAAACCTTCTAAAATATTTTCTAATAATGATAAACGTTTAGCTTTACTTACTATTTTTATTTAGTGGTTCTTCGTACGGGTGAGCTGTAAGGGAATTTTACTACAATTAATACATTAATTTTATATTTTTATTTTATTTTCAAATTCTCATATTATAATTCAAAATATTTCTATAGTTAAAACTTGAACAAATTAAATATTAAATTGTTCAAATTTAACCTGTGAAATGCGGACAACCAAGACTTTTTTATGTATTGAAAGTACTATTTAATAAAAATGTTTATAGAATAAATATTTATGTTTTTATATAAACGTCTGTAAAAATTTAGTAATTAAATATATTTTATCTTTTTTATGAGCGTAAGAAACTATTTTATAACATATTTACTGTTATTTTCATAAATATGCATGATAATTTTATTAAGTAAACCTTTTATTTTATATATTTTAACGAAATTACTAAGTGAAACATCATGTTATAAACGCAAATGTTTAATACGTAAAACAGAAAAATAACGTAAAATAATAAATTTAAATCACATAGTTTTATACTGTGCAAATACCAACTGAGAATCATTGAGTAACCTAGAGCACTTCTTCCTGTAAAGTGAATCAACATTTTCGAAATATTGACCATCTAAATCCTGAAAAACCAGCTTCTAGTATTCGTTTAGTCCCTTATTTAAAAATGTAGAATAAAAAAGAAATACTAAAACTAAGTTTCCTTCCATCTTGCAGTGTTAANTCGTTAGTTTTCTTTTTTTTCGTGTAAGAAATGTTAGGAATTCAATCATAGATATTGCAAGTTCAATCAGGTCAGATTGGTTGAATAGTGTTTCGAGAATTCTCTTGATACTGCTCATATAACGAGGTTTGAAACACACAATACAGGAAAGCAATATCATTCTCGAACGAAATTGCAGCCACTGCCAAGGAAACAATAGCGAGTCACCGATCAAAGTAGCAGAGATTCCATTCTTGGAGACTTCTCACCTCAAACAAGAACTCTGCTGTAGAAAGAAATGATACGGTGTCTCCATTACCAACTCCTGTCCGTGATAATTACGTCTTGGATCCTGGTTGAATGATGACATTCTTTTCCAGATGTTTCGGACATCTACGTCTTGTCTTACAGATATCATATGTGACCACAGGTTCCTCTAACTCCTATACAACACATCTTTTAACGTATCTACTGACGATTCTCTTATGAGTTGACTGAATGATTTTATAAATATAATCTCTCTTTTCTTATTTGTAGGTTACGAGAACAATAAATTTTATGTTATGACACAATCATTTTTTTTTCTCTTCTTATATTTTCACTATAATAATAGTAAATATAAATAATAAAAAAGTATTATTACAAAAAATGGTCAACCGTATAGGCTATTTAATTTAAAATTTCATGAAAAGTGTATTTTTTTCCTCTCCCTTCCAGAAAGTACTTTGCACCGAGAGGTCATTCACAATTTTTATTACTCTAAAATGGCAAAATTCCAAATCATATGTGGAGTCATTCTGCGATAGTTTATGATTAAATTTTTATTTACTATTTTTTTCTTTTTAAACTTATCTTATTCAAAATCTTTACACCACAACAAAAATATTGTGTTTCTTTAATATAGTAACAAAAAACCAACCCTAAATTATAAAAATAATATAAAATTTAAAGCAAAAAATTTACCGAATTAAATACTACAAAAAATATTGTCAATCAAGATTATATAAAATTTAATTAGAAAATATTTTTAAAGAATGTAAAATAATTTTAAACGTATACAAAAAAATAATAAGATTATTAATAATTTTTTTTATTGTTTATTGAAGGAACGAAAATATTAATACATTGTTTACGTGGATATTTCACTTAAACAATATGAAATTAATAATGAATTTATTAATTTGAATTCGAAATTTATATATCTATCTCATTTAAATTTCTTTTAATAACAATTATAAATTTTTGTCGTTTCTAAATAAAGTTGTTATTTGTAATAAGTTTATTAGGAGTGTTAAGTGTTTAGAAGTGTTTGTTGTTGAGGTTCGATTGTATTAACATTCGAACTTCAATAACGAACACCTGTCAACAACAAACACCTCTAAACAATGGCCACTTTTTACGTTTCCCTCAATGGCCATTTTTTTTAAAGATTTGACTGCGCTACAGCTCGATTCTCAGCTTCTATACTGATCTTTCTTACGTTTAATTTAGTTTATTAAAATTATTTCTTTGTAAATTTTGCAATTATTACCTTTCTAAATGTACAAAGCGTAATGATATTCCGCGCTAATATTTTAGGGATAGATTCTAAGCTTAACGTTTTTCAAATTACAGTCGACCCCCTATAACACTGTTTATTTTTCCGTTTTATATGAATTCCATGTTGTACGAGTCACTTAGAATTTACAAATACGTGTGCTGGGCTGTGAACGGCTCACGTATTTGTAAAATCTAAGTGACTCGTACAACATGGAATTCATATAAAACGGAAAAATCAACAGTGTTATAGGGGGTCGACTGTAATTTGAAAAACGTTAAGCTTAGAATCTATCCCTAAAATATTAGCGCGGAATATCATTACGCTTTGTACATTTAGAAAGGTAATAATTGCAAAATTTACAAAGAAATAATTTTAATAAACTAAATTAAACGTAAGAAAGATCAGTATAGAAGCTGAGAATCGAGCTGTAGCGCAGTCAAATCTTTAAAAAAAATGGCCATTGAGGGAAACGTAAAAAGTGGCCATTGTTTAGAGGTGTTTGTTGTTGACAGGTGTTCGTTATTGAAGTTCGAATGTTAATACAATCGAACCTCAACAACAAACACTTCTAAACACTTAACACTCCTAATAAACTTATTACAAATAACAACTTTATTTAGAAACGACAAAAATTTATAATTGTTATTAAAAGAAATTTAAATGAGATAGATATATAAATTTCGAATTCAAATTAATAAATTCATTATTAATTTCATATTGTTTAAGTGAAATATCCACGTAAACAATGTATTAATATTTTCGTTCCTTCAATAAACAATAAAAAAAATTATTAATAATCTTATTATTTTTGTATACGTTTAAAATTATTTTACATTCTTTAAAAATATTTTCTAATTAAATTTTATATAATCTTGATTGACAATATTTTTTGTAGTATTTAATTCGGTAAATTTTTTGCTTTAAATTTTATATTATTTTTATAAATAAATTTTTGTTAATTTTTACAATTTTAATAAGTATCTTATCAATAAAATTATATTAATAAACACATTATTATAAAAAAATATTCAAGAATAAGTGTATTTCTCTGTAACGAATTTCTCTTGAGAATTTCTCTTAAATATTATTTTTATAATTTAGGGTTAAAACTATTAAATATTAAAAATTATATATTCTTTTATTTTAAAAAAGCTAGCAACGTTGTTGTTAAATTTTTCCGGTATTTTTTATTTGTTTTTATTCCTAATAATTGCTACCACTACCTTTAAGTCTTCAGATTGGTTCGGGAGANCTTATTTTTTGTTCAGCGAGAAAAGAAAATTTCAAAAGAAAAAGGTATTTTAGAAGTAATTTTATTTATTCTCTATGATAGAATTCATTTTCAAACACGAAAATTATTAAAATATGATTAAACAAATAAAGACATCCGATTAAAGAGTGCTATTGAAATTTTAAAATCAATCTTACAGAAATATAATAATATTATTAACTTCGGTAGATAATACCTTCATTTAATATCTTGAGTATAAAGGAAAACCTTAATGTGAACGATAGAATGCTAAAGAATACTTACAGAAGCAGAATTAGTAAGATAAGAGCATTGGGAGAGATCAAACAGTATCAAAGGCAGAAAGCGATTAAGTCGAGCATAAACCAATTAATGATATCACTCGATAAAAATTCCGAACTTTTGAAGAAATCTTTCAAATTTCCTACTTGTTTAAATATCAAAAGGAAGTAGAAATTATTTAGTTAAAAGAAGGTTATCCTCGTATATTAATTAACATTTCGTTAAGTTTCTTTTTTTTCGTGTAAGAAATGTTAGGAATTCAATCATAGATATTGCAAGTTCAATCAGGTCAGATTGGTTGAATAGTGTTTCGAGAATTCTCTTGATACTGCTCATATAACGAGGTTTGAAACACACAATACAGGAAAGCAATATCATTCTCGAACGAAATTGCAGCCACTGCCAAGGAAACAATAGCGAGTCACCGATCAAAGTAGCAGAGATTCCATTCTTGGAGACTTCTCACCTCAAACAAGAACTCTGCTGTAGAAAGAAATGATACGGTGTCTCCATTACCAACTCCTGTCCGTGATAATTACGTCTTGGATCCTGGTTGAATGATGACATTCTTTTCCAGATGTTTCGGACATCTACGTCTTGTCTTACAGATATCATATGTGACCACAGGTTCCTCTAACTCCTATACAACACATCTTTTAACGTATCTACTGACGATTCTCTTATGAGTTGACTGAATGATTTTATAAATATAATCTCTCTTTTCTTATTTGTAGGTTACGAGAACAATAAATTTTATGTTATGACACAATCATTTTTTTTTCTCTTCTTATATTTTCACTATAATAATAGTAAATATAAATAATAAAAAAGTATTATTACAAAAAATGGTCAACCGTATAGGCTATTTAATTTAAAATTTCATGAAAAGTGTATTTTTTTCCTCTCCCTTCCAGAAAGTACTTTGCACCGAGAGGTCATTCACAATTTTTATTACTCTAAAATGGCAAAATTCCAAATCATATGTGGAGTCATTCTGCGATAGTTTATGATTAAATTTTTATTTACTATTTTTTTCTTTTTAAACTTATCTTATTCAAAATCTTTACACCACAACAAAAATGTTGTGTTTCTTTAATATAGTAACAAAAAACCAATAATATTTTTTAAGTTAAAATTGTAAAAATATATTTTCTAAAATTTATTTTTTGTTTCTGTTGTTATTATTATTATTATTATTATATGTTTTATGTGTTTATTTATTTATATTTATGCACGTATCTGTATATATGTATGTATTTATTATTGAAAATTTGCATTTTTTTTCCTCC